CAGCAGGAAAGAGGAGCAGCACCAGAGTCACCAGCCACGCACAGCGCCCAAACAACATTCAAGTCTCCTCACAGTGTCACTCCTTACACGTTTCCCCTAAGCCACCAGGTTAATCCCCTCACTCCATGGTCCTTCCTTCTGCGAGAAGCTATCCCAGCTGCACACTTCCAGCCTTCAGCCACCCAGTGACGTAAATCCAGAAACTTCACTGCTGAAGCAAGAGCAACATCACCAGGGAAGACACAGACAGGCACCTCTCTCTGGAAGGAGAAGACAAGCTTGACAGGTACCACCTCCCCTCTTCATGCCCCTGCTCTCACCCCTACAACAGTCACCACAGGCGGAGCAGTTACTGTAGTGGGGTTAGGAGCCAGCCCCCATGGGGGGACTATGAAAAAATTTAACACATTAACACAACCAAAGAGATTATTTTATTCACAGGTTTGGTCTAAATAGTTGTTTCTTTGCTGGCAAGACTTCTTGCCCCTTCAGGACTGTCTAGTACCAGACAGGGACTTGACTGGATATTAATTCTGAAAAAAACAAAGCAAGGAACACAACCGAACGCTCTCAGCAGTGACAGTAAAGCAGTTTTGAGTTGTGTTTTCCAGCTTTTCTGATTTATCAGGAACCCCATCTCCATGTTTCAAACTGTCACACTTCTCACCTGGGAAGGAAAGCTGGGAAACTGCTCTACCTGCACCCACCAAGGCAGCAGCTGCTGAACGTCCTTCTTAGAGGAGTTTTAGCTTCAGCCCCACCATTAGGAGCTGGTGAAGCTCAGTGCTACAGGATACCATGCAAGGCAACCTGCCCTGGCCCTACTCATCATCCATCTCTGCATCCCCTAGAGACTTGCCAGCTACATCTCTCTTCAGCATCATTTTGTTTTAAGCAAAGGTGTGTCATTAACATAACTGAGCACCTCACAGAGAATTCCAGGAGTTAACACTGGGCCCAAATTAGATGCTTTGGTCATACAAAGTTAATGACATAATGGAGACAAATGCCACCTCTTTCAGGGTCCTGATGACTTCTTACTGAAAAACCTAAACTGAGGCAATGAGCTGAGACGTTTTCCCTTCCCAAAGTCCAACACTCCCAGCTCCATGCTCTAACATGAGTTTGGATCCCTGGGCTTGGTTTTTGCAACAGAACAAAAATAAGCCACTGAAAAGGGCAGCACATTCCACCACTGGCCGTTCTGCCCAGCAGACAGGGCTCACGCATGCCTACAGGAGCCGGCAGCACCTGGGCAGGCAGGATCCAGCACCTTCTTCATCTGCTTCGTGAAGCCAAAGAGCATGAGAGATGGGAACCACAACACTGGGAGTTATATTTGAGGGTTTTATTAGTTCTTCTGCAGAATCAAAATATTTAGCAAATTACTTTAAAGATTCCTCAAGAATGCTGATACTTTATGTATTTAGAATTTGAACAATGTACAACGTAATACTTTGAACTATCAAAACCAACTCAAAACCTGATTTCTAGTACTAGATGTTATTATGTAGTTCTATAGCAGTGTGAAAAATGGAACTAATGCAGTGAGTATATTTGTTTTAAAGAAAGTGCTTGAAAGAAACCTCCTGCATCACACTGAGTATTATTTAAAACAAGAAGATAACTGATTTCCTAACAGGGCATTGTCTTAAATATCCTACAAGCCCGGGCAATTAAGAATACTGAGCCCCAGCTCTCTGCCTTCAGGTGCAAGAACCAACACAAGCTGCAGGTCCAGGTGGAGTTCACAGCTTACCATTTTTCAAGAGAACTTACACACCACTCGGATTGCACGCTCATGTCTGGCAGAAGTGTTGGATGCATGGGTAAAAAGGAAAAAAAAAACCAAACCAAACAAACCACAAGAGGAACAGCTTCTTTCTTTATGCATAGCGACAGTTTCCGAACCAGTGTTTTACTAAGTTACAGACTAACTTTCAACCAAAAAATAAAACTCCATTGCACTAAGGGTCAAATTTAACCAGTTAATCTGGACTGTGATACAGTCAAGTAATTCAGTACAAGCAGACACCATGAAAGCAGCTTCAAAGAACCAAAGCATCCTAGTTTCAGAACCAACTTAGTATTCTTCTGTCCAACTCCAGTGCAACAGTGAGGGGGGGAAAGCACTCCTGTCTCTACCTATGTACAATTCCAGTAGAGGTTGGGCAGTCTAAACTTTCCGTGGCCAAGCTGGAAAAAGGAAACTTAGGAAAGGACACTTTAAAAATTTAATTTAAGAAATAAAGTTGGCTCTCGGTGGAAAGAGAAATGCTGGAGTGATGCACGCGGGTGGGCTTGTTCAGTCACTCTCCCATGTATGCGAAAAGCCGTACTCCTTCTTGCCGAGAGCAAGTCACACTGGATGTGAAGGTGGCGGGGCTGGTCCTGCTCCGTTGCACGCCAAGAATCCAGGAATGTGTTTTCAGCTGGCTCCTGCACGGGCCATTAGATCTTCCAAAGCATTGTGTTGGTCGTTGTTATGTAATAATAAGACCTCCTTAATGTCTTTTAGTTCAAATCCCATTTCTTTAAATTGACTCATTAGTTGGAGAAGTTCTGTGATCTGAAAGACACAGATGGTCTGTTATTTGTGAAAGAAAAAGAGGATGAGTGCTTGGTGGAGGTTTAGCACAGAGCCAGTCTTCAGCGACTGAGCATCCCATGGGGTGGATTCCTCCCCTCCCCAAGTACAGCCCGCTCCAGCTCCCTTTGGAGAAAGTCCACTCACACCAGAGCTGGTGGAGCTCTGGGTGCAGCAGCCCACAGAGCCCCAGCTCCAGTCCCCTGTGTTTGCAGTCCTGCGTTTCCAAAATCCTCTTCAACAAGGGCACCAAAGCTCAGTCTGTGGGGGTGTGTGTCTCAGTACAAAATCTATCAGCCTGGCCCAATTTGGGCTCCTGATTAATGTGCCGATTAATGGTACCCTGCTTGCCCAACCATGCTGCATCTCAATTTTTTAAAGCTACTTCAACTTGGGTATGGTAACTCTTGCTATCAACTGGCTCTTCTAGGGCAAACTTGGGGGATTAGCACAAACCCTGTTGGACACACTGTGTACGATACTACCAACATCAACCATGAATCCTCCTTGAGCTTTGAAAAAAATAAAGCAACAAGAAGTGAGCCAGCTGATCAGACTTTTATGAACCCTCTTTCGTTTACAGTACCTCCACTCCAGAGGAAAGAAAAACTCAAAACCAAGCAAGCAGGTTGAAATGGGCAATCAGGACATTAGCCATGTACAATTTTGGGGTTAAGCCAGTAGCAAACATGTTTCCTGAACTCAGGCACTTCTCCCATCTTCACACTGTTGCTCCTCTGTTTGCAAGCTCATCACCAAGTCCAAGAAAGGCAGGAAGGCGTCTACGTGCCTGGGGGGGTTGGGTTGCACCCTCTAAGGATTTCACATAACAACTTGGGACACAACAAGCTGGCAGACTTTAAAAAATCCTGCTGTCCTCTGCCCTGGCTACCTGCTCCTGCCACTGTACCTTTGGTGCTGGTAAAGCAGCCACAGAACCAGACCCCAAACCCCCCCATTTTCCAGCTTCTTCCAGAGCGAGCCGTAACCCAATTTGCTGAGCAGCCAGGTAGATGCGTTTGCACAAGGGAGAAAATTCACAGCCAGGGCACGCTGGCAGGGTTTGAAAGATAATTTGCTGCTTCTAAAATTAACTGTCTTTGTAGCAAGCACCATGCCCACAAGAGAACTCTGGGTTCAAAACATTACAACCAGAATAAGCAGGGTCTTTAAAAATCCTGTCCCCATAAAAATGCTTGCAATGAGAGCAATAAAACAATGCAGAAGAATTCTTTAACACATATTTGCTTTATCACTGATGATGTCCTTTGGCAGTCAGTTTTTGGAAACAAGGCAGCATTACCATGAAAGACAGAATTACATCAGCCAGAGGAACTGCTGCTCGAATTCCCCATCACGGAGCATTCTCTCTATTGCTTAGCACGTTGTGCCCTCACCTTCTCCTCTGAACACTGGTGCATTTCCAAAGCTGCTTCAACAAGAAGCGGATCAAAGCCCTTCTCACAAAGCTGTCCATGTGCAAACAGGTAATCCAAAACCTGTGGGAAATTAAAAGAAGAGAAGAAACTAAGTTTGCAGGGTGGCATTCGCAGCAGGCAGTGGAATACCATCTCTGCACTTGCAGAGGGGCTGAGTCCAGCTCTACCCCAGGCTTCATCAGGGACCGCAATAAAGTCCTTCCTAGCAGGGCTGAGATGCTCTTCATGCAAGAGCTCATTCAGAGAAAACAGACAAGCCCTGCCGTCCTCCTGTGGTCTTCCACCAGCTCTGAACATCACCTTCCACTCTAGTCAAAACAGCCTCAGAAGCCTATCTTTAGCCTTCCGTGCCTGATCACTGAGCAGAAGGCAGAAGTTTAACTGTGGTTTTTATACTACAAGTTTTCAAAATGAAACTGTAGGTCAAGCAGTCAAGATATGTCAGCTTCTAGCTTCCTCTCAGACAGCCGCAAGAGGTGACGCAATCTGAAAGCAGTCAGCCTTTTACGATCAGCATACTGGTGAGTGAGCTGCAAATCCCAGCTCACACACCCAGAAACCGCTGCCAAATTTCTTATACATCCTCAGCTTTGCAAGGTACGGGGAAAGGTCAGACACGCAATGCTAGGGAGGCAAAAGAACACAGCCTGCAAATACAGCAGGATTTATAACTGCCCTCCTAAGGGCTGTTATTTCCATTTGATAATACAGTTCACTGCAGCCCACAGCTCAAACCGCTCTCGATGCACAGGTAGTGGGCAAGCAGATCAGCTCCACCAGCAGAAGTCACGGGGACACTCCTCCTCCCCAGGGACAGCCCCGCCAGGCAACGCTGTGTGCAGCACGCAGCCTGCCTAGGGTCAGCACGGCAAGTTTGGCCACGCTCGCCCTGCTTTACCATGTTCGTTTGAAGCGGATCCAAGACCCAGAGCCGCGCTTCACCCTGCAGCGCGTTATGCTCTGTGACCTGGTTTTAGCAAGCGTTTGAGGCAACACACGAGGCAGGAAGCACCGCGACCAGAGCGCACAAAAGCAAGTCGGTCAGTGGGGCCTTGCGAGAGCCTTTCAGGGCTGTCTTAAGCCTGCAGGGGCCAACCTCTCTACAAGGGGAGACGTCAGCATCGTAACCCCTTGCGCTCAGAACAAGAGAAGTTGGCTGCTTTTTCTGTCACATGGCACTAAGCATGGAATGGAGCCACACTAAGCTTCCTTCAGGTGGTTCTGTCGCTCCTGGGAAGACCCCGTACCTCTCCCAGCTTCACATGGAGCTGAGGGCCCATCCCAAGCTCAGCGTAGCTCCGACCCAGCACCCACAGGTGTGGCTGACTCAAGCAGTCTCTCATGCGCAGACACTTTTTTCTTCGGTTTTCGGAGCCTTTACTGCTAGGTGACAACTTCTCTAGTCATTAATACCGCAGCAGCTACAGGCTGCAACCTCCTGTTGGAATAAAAGTATCCCCCCCCCCATTTTGCAAACCCAAGGTTTCTCTGCAGAATCAGCATCCAATCAAGTGTTTCTCTCCCACTGCACAAGCTCTTACCTGGTCTATGTTCTGTCCCTTCTTCTTCATGGCTTTCAGGACGTTCTCGGGCGAATAGCCCATGTTGACGACCGTCTCTATGCACTGCCTCTCGCTAGCGGAGAGGACCTGCTGTAGTTCAGGAGCGGGGCCACCCGACCACTTGGTGCAGCTGGTGTTATTGGGCACTTTAGATACTGGAAAGTTTTGGTGTGTTACCTAAAGGGGAAAACCCAGAGGCTGAGGTGATGGTCATCTCCTGCATCCCCACGTCCTGTCTCTGGCTAGTGCAGAACCACAACACCCCATCTAATTAATCCGAGAGGCTTTCTAGATAGTGCCCTTGGGAAGTTTCTCATCGTTAGGATGAAACCAAGCAGGGGACACCATACTCTTTTTACCCTCAAAACAACAATCAACATCCCAGATTCTTCGCAACATACCCTCTCCTACCAGTGGGACCAAAACCTTTCAATACCCAACCTTTGCAACAGTGAAGGTCCTTATGATACAGCCAAACCCTGTACCTAAAAGGAAGCACGGAGATTGCTTCCTTCACCCCAAATTTACTCGTCACCTCTTTTTTTTTTTTTTTGTACCCAAAGGAGCACTAATTCTGGAGATTTTCAGAAACACAATCCAGTGCAAGCACACAGGTATTTGGGAACTTACCACAGGGATTTCTGTTTCCTTGTAGTCTGGGTGTACCTGCTGGACAACACACGAATAAGGTAACTTATAAACATTACGCACTAGTGAGCAGAATTTTGCTGCAGCTGGTGGAAGAAGGGATTTATGGGAGAGGTCTGGGAGTGAGTCTACCGTACTAGGGAGATTTGTGGTCTGACCAGGCTTCCACATGTGAGATGCAGACGTTACGCGGTTGTGTGTAGTTCTAGAATAGCCATCATAAGGGTTGTGTCTCCCCTCAGCACTCAACAAGCAGATCATGCTCCAAGAAGGATGTATCCCCCCTCATAGTAACTCTGAGACTGTTTATTCTGTCACTGTAATGGCTACTTGTTCGTACAGCTCAGTGTAACACGCTGGCTCCTGTTCAGCTCTTGACCCAGTGCTACGCGGCCTGAAACTTTTAAGTCATTGCCTAGAGATTTCCCTTGACTTTTTTTGACCATGAGAAGGGGTAAGAGAAACATATACCCCTTTTTTTCTACTCTGAAGCACTGCACTTCATACGCCATATATGAGCAATGTGGCACACTGGCTAAAAGGAGCATGTGACTTTTTTTTTCCTCCCCCCGACCAACGCCCAACACCGGGTCCCATTCCCAGCACCCCAACAAGGCTGGGTAACGTTCCCTGCTGCACACCTCCTCTGCTTCTGCAGAACCAGGCTGCCAGAGGGCAGAACTAACCCGCCGCTTTATACTACTTCGCCCAAGGTAACAGCAGTGCAAAGGCAGAACTCTGCCCCACCAAATCTGAACCTTTCAATTCATCCATTTAAAAGCCTTCCTGCATTTTACATGTAATTAGAAAAGGCTGCAAGAAATGACTGTGGACCAAAAGCCTCAGCCTTTTGTGTTTCTTGATATTTATTATGCCAACACAGATTACTTGAAAGCTTGTCCACTGCTTTCAGAAAGGCCTTGTCTGGGCCCAGACTAAACAACAAAAAACTGTTTATAGAAAACAGTTCTGAGAAAAGCTATTAGGATTTTGACAAATTCCATTTATTTGCAAAAAAAAAAAAAAAAAAAACAAACCAACCCCAAAACCAAACAAACCACCCAACAACACCCCAACCCCAAACCACCACCAAGGAGGTTTTGTTCTGCATTTCCGACAATTTTCATCTCCAGGGTAAGAACTTCTCTTCTAGGAGACAAAACCTGAGAAATCATAGTCGTTCTGATGGACTGGTTTACCCAAGAACCTCTCCTCATGGCAGTAGAGGGGTTCAACACTTCACACACACCCTCTCCAGGCACTTTTGCCTGAGCAAAGATCACTAGAACATGGGATTCACAGAAATAGGGGTCTGGAGTAGCCCTGAAATCAGCTGGTTATCAAACTGAAGGATGACGCTTTGTTATTGATGCCGCAGCCAGGAAAACCAAAACTGCTTCTGACAGCAGAGATTCAAGAGTCTGGGGAAACCAACTAACTCCTCCTCCTCGATCTGCCTGAGCTTGACAACCTGTGCTTGTGGTCAGAGACTTCCAGCAGAGGAGGGAAATTCCTAGAGGAATTGCAGCCATGCTCCCTTATGTCTCAAACCTGTATTCCAGTGCCCTTCAAGAAGCAGACATGCAGGGCTTTCAATATCTGCTTGCACACTGAGCCTACTTTTAAGGACTTCATACAGAGGCTGGGAGCCCAGCCTGCAGCTGGTGTGCCCGCACACATCATGCTGCTGCAGTGGTATATATTCTGAATATGTACCAGAATATATATGGGGCACCAAGAGTGCCCCATCCTCCCATAACCAGATTTCTGTAAATAAAACGCATCGCACTAGTCAGGTCTCTGGCCAGATTTGTTTAATTCCAACCTGTTGTCTTCATTAGTCATTTCTCCCTCTGCCAATGCTGCAAAAAGCAAACAGGTGAGCTTCAAAGAAAAAAAAAAAAAAAAAAAAGGAGAGGGGACCACCTAGGACAGAATCAGTGTAGCCTCAGAGAAATCATAGGTTTATTTCCATCCAAAAAATCCTAGATCCAAGTCACCGGTAAAGCATAAACTCCAGTAGTAACTCCAAATCCAAAGTTACAATTTCTAGTCTTGTGAAGAAAAAAAAAAAAAAAAAAAAAAAAATGAAATCACTGTGGAATACACTGGGACATATAATTGTCCTGAAGCTTTCTAAAAAGGACAGGCTTATTCTTGTATAACCTTGCAGGAAAGGGATGTGTGTGATCCTTCTGCTCCCAGCCACAGGGACGACTGCGACTTCCTTCTATAGTTTTCATACTCTGAGGACTTTTGTTACATTTACTTTAATACTTCTGTTGTATTTACTTCAATTTCTTGCAGCTCAGCTGTCATTTTCCAGCCACTGGTACCATATTGTGGAAACACAAATCAAGTAGAGTCTGAAGTCTTGGAATTTAAACAGAAAGAACTAGTTCTGCTGGCACACCTATTTCTTGGTTTGCTACTTCCAAAGCAGAAATAGTTTCCTAGTAAGATCTTTATTACTTCTCCTAATAAGTCTGTTTATCAGTTCGCATCTTCCCTTACAGCCTTCTCAAGAATGCACCTTCCCTCTTGGTCTTTAATCCAGCATTGAGGTGTGAATAGTTAGAGTGGAAAATAGGCCAACTGAATGCCCATCTATCTAGTTGCAAGTGATCTTTCATGTTAATCCCTAGAGATCTGTCAAGTGTCGTACTTTGAGGTTTCACTTCTGAGCTACACACGATCATGCCATCGCCTCTCAAACCTCCGATCTGTAACAGGGAGCAGTTTCTCAGCACATTGCTGCGTCTGCCAAAGTTTACGGCATTAAGTATGTTCTAGTGATCAATAAACAGCTGTTCTGCTGTGCTCCGACAGATACGCTAGTTGCCAGAATACCGTATTTTGCAATTAATAGTGCACTTACCTAAGCCTGAAAAGAGGTGAAAGAACAATAGAAGAGAAGCAGTGTCACTTGTTTCAGAGCACAAGGCATCACACAAAAGCCTACAGTATGCCAGTCAGACCAGAGAACCACAGAAGCACTCCTTATATTGGACAGAACAAACCAGGTGATTTTATAGCCAGCTAGAGGAGTTCAGGAGTACTGGTGTGCATATCTTAGGTTCTGTGGGAAAAAAGCCCACAAGCTTACTCAGATCTCTGCTCTTATTCACAAAAAGACAAAGACAACAGCTGGCACGAAGTTAAGTGTCCTCCAAGTAATTTTAGAGCTTGCTACAAGTTTGAGGGAACAAAGCACCAACCTCCTGCCTCAGAGCTGTACAGCAACCGACTGTAACGTCAGCAATCTGACATGATCTTCAAGACTGGTTTTGGTATCCACCAAGCAATCCCTCCACTCTCCTTCACAAGGAGGAGGGCAAATACCAGATTTCAGACCACCATCATTTCTTCCTCTTAAAGATTAGATTTTAAAAGGATGTCAGGAAGAAAGTAATAAAGACAGACACATTTGACTGCAGGTCAACTGCAAGCATTTTTTTCTTTCCTGAATGATGCAGCACATTTGTGTTTAATCTATTATTACTTCTATTCCTTGAAAAGCTTGCATGTCCCATTATTTCCAGCAAATAAATAAGCAGGCCGAGGAACAAATCTAGAAAAGATTTACCTCAAAAGCTAACAGCACTTCAGAATCTGATATACCTCAGTGGATAAGACAGAATGCAGGACTGTGCAGAGAGGATATCTTACAGACTTAGTTCAAATGTGTGCAACTACAAACAGCACGAGCTGAAAAGCTGAAAGAAGAGTCACCAGAATTGGTCTGAAAACAGCAGATTTTGGGGAAACCTGCAGAGTAATAATCTGAGATTGAGAACTGCCAGGAAGAAGACCTGTCAGATTGATCAACTTGCTGTGTAAATTAAGAGGATCTACACATCACTCCCATTAAATGAAACTAAAACCAAAGCCACAGGGACCTTTCAGAAGCAGCATTTGCCTCCGCACCTCCACATCTCCCCAGCAACCCCAATTCTAATCCACTGCATGTTTACCGTAGTCGCTGTGCTTTGAGATGATTCTTCTTCTGTACAAACTGTCGACACGGCCAGGGAAGGCAGTCTGGATGAAGAGGATAACATTGATGTCTCCATGCCATTGTCCTCATTTAGAGCGGAAAGACCAACCATGTGGTGTCCGTTCAGTTCACTAGCTTTACTCTGAGCACAGGCCTGCAAAGAGCTGAGCAAAGTGCCATTGCGGAGACAGGAGGTGCTGCGGAAAGTGCTTGTGAGCTTTGATGATTTTTGATCACTCTCATCGGAGTCAAGTTTAGGAAAGGATAGGGATTTGATATTGCTCACTGAAGTGATAGGGGACAGGGACACTTTGGAAGACAAGGACATCTTTTCACAGTTTCCCAGCTGCGGTAAAGTGATAAAGCCATTGGGTTTGTGAAGGGGCTTGAAGTCCAACGTGGCCCTTTCTATGGAGGCCAGAACTTCCTCATCTTGCAACACAGACTCAGACCCTCCTTTGGGCAAAGTATTATCCAACAGCTGGGCAACAATTGGCCCAGTAGTACCAACATGAATTTCAAGAATATTCTTTAATTCCTCCTTATCATCGATAGTTTTTAATTCCAGTTTGTCAAATGGGTCTTCTTCACATTCAAAATCAGCTGGGTTGAAGTCTGCTTTTGGACGAGGTGGACTGAGAACTTTTTGCTTCACAGCGCTACTGTTGGCCGGCGTGGGAGTAAGAATATTATTGTGCTGCAGGCTAGCAAGGATGGGGTTGATAGGAGGAGGCATGGCCTCAGGGCAGGGTCCCTCTGAGAACCCCATTTTGTTGCTGTCCTCTGGAGCTGCTTTTGAGTTTGCTAGCGCTTCTTCTGCCTTGCGTTCAGCTTCTCTCTGGGCAGCTTGAATTTTTTTGATATCTTCAGCCCACTCAATTGTTTTCTTTTCCAGTGAGAAGTCATACTGGTGGGGGCGAAAGGAGAGGAGAAAAAAAATAGATAAATTGTAAGGGTCATAGCCACTACTTCTGACAGAAACATAAGTAGGATAGAATAACAGCTACGTGAATTACCATGGACAGGCATCATTTTTTTCCCAGCATCTCTTGTAACCTACAGACTGGCAAAGCTAGAAGACACCAGAAGTAGTTCATTTGGCCTCCAGCAGCAAAACCTGTCTATAGTCTGGATCAGAGTATCATATTTTGCCTCCTTCCTATATTTAGTTTTGCTTTCGAGCTACTGATCACCCCAAGATCAGTTTCACAGCCCTCCCACCCTCTCCCCGCTAGACAACGGGCATAGCAAGGGGTAGTCTAGCACATCACTAGATGGACAATCATACCCAGATCAGACACCACTGAACTACCCCCTGTCACAAGTTCCACAAGCCATTCAAGACTATGGCAACGTATTTTTGCATCCAAAGACCAAGACAGTTTTACTCAGTTCCCCTAAAAGATTCCTAAGGGGCTGGATATTAGAGTTTTATACCCATTAGTTTAAGAGGTATTGGTATTCTTACCCCAGGACCAAAGGCTCAACCAGCCAAAGGGGTTATACTGGCTACACCAATAGTAACTGCCTGCAGTAGCAGATTTGGCATGACAGGATCCCACAAACTTTTCTCATTTAACATAAGCTATTTCAGGGCCAGGTTAGCACAGGAGGGCATTTGTAAGCTACTTGCTTCCAGTTTTCAGGCCACAGTAGTGGCTTGGTTGAGAGGACAAAATTCTGAACACGCTTTAAATGTACTTAAAGTTTTAATATCTTAGGAAGAATGAACAACCTCAAATGTTCTTTAAATAACCACAAAATGTTCAGAGAATGCAGCCTGCAAGCTAAGTCCAGGGTGTAACCTACCTGTGACTCACAAGAAGTCACAAGATAGCCTGGCCAGGATAATGGCACATAACCAAACAGGAGTGTTCATGCCATGGGACTGCTAGGTCATGCAAATTCCTAGCTCTAAAGAGCAACAAGACAGCAAGGCTCGCTAGGCCTCTACTCACTACGTGTTGCATCACATCCCATCCTATAGCGGGCTCCCGTGAGATCCTGGAGATTTGTTATCTCAACTATATTAACATTTTTCCCTTCCCTTCGGTCTAAGACTCCAAGAGGTGCGATACACAATTTATCAGCAAGGCAACTTTGAAAAACTACTCACAGGCAGAAGTGCTGGGCACTTCAGTATCTGAGCAGAGCTATCGTAGTTTTGTGTGTGTGTGTATATGTATATGATCATATATGGCCAAAATTTACCAAAGCACGCATTTTTTTTAGAGTAAAAAAATGGGGGATATTTATATAAAAATATTTGGCTTTTGTCAATTTTGCTTCCCTGCACTTTTTTTTTTTTAAACAGCTCTCACTACAGCTGTAGAAAAGTCAAATTGCACTGTGACTATGCAGACCACGCATCTCACATCATATTATGCAAGGCGTTGCAGTGCAATTGGGCATACGATACTTGAGCCTCAGCTTGGCAGGAAAATGGAGACATAGCACAACGAAGCCAGCAATAAGGCATGAGACTCTCCTTTAGCTCTCCCACACTGGCTTAACTGGGTGGTAATTAGGACAATACGTTAATCATTTCATGGTTATAATGAAAAAGCCATGATGTAGGGTAATAGGGTAATATGCAGGGTAGGGAGGGGGGAAAGGGAAAAAAAAAAAGCAGAATGCTCTACAGCAATCTGTCACAGCTGAACTGAAAACAATCATCAATTTAGACTGACCAAGGAATATCACGGATCCAAATGAGAAAACATAGTTCAATTAGATTGCCTGTATCACAAACTGCATTTGGAGATTAGATTTTCAACAGTTATGCTAATGCGATTGATTTTATGCTACCAAGAGTTTATGGTAACAGAGATGTGCTCCTCAAAGACCTGGAAGCCATGTGTACCAAGCTGTTACCTGCTTGCCCTACAGCTGGAAGGGAATTCCCACTCAGAACTGCACAGAAAACAAGAACTGGAAATTTATTTCTTCAACCTGCTATTGCGAGAACTCATAAAATATGGTCACAGAAATACTTCTTACCCTCAAACAAGATTCTGCAAGTATGCCATAGCATGGGTGTCCCAGTTCTTGCCATTTTTCCTCTTAAAAATGCTACTCAAATTTAGTCAGGGTACCATTTTGACCTGTAGCTATTATACGAAAGCATTGTGCTCTGTTGAATTAGATACGCTAAAATAAATGCTACTAGGCTTTTTAAAGTGCTAAGAAGTAGAAACTTTTTGCATGGCCTATCATATTTTTATCTTTCTATACATCTATACATTTAACAGATCTTCTGCAACTACTGCCATATGAGATGACACTACAGGACCCACAAGACCAACATTTGAACACATGTGCAAACTGTGACTACTTGTGACTTACAGCACCACATGCTGGGGGCCAGGGGGAAGAGGGCGGAAAGGCAAAACACATCACTTACCTGGGCTTCTCTGACAAGCTGAGAAGAATCAGGCAGGCAGAAACCAATGGGTAATCCAACCTTCGCTGGGGTCTTGAATTTGTCTCCTATCTTAAATGGGACATCATCAAGATAACTGAAAGGCCCTAAGATTGAAAGCAGAAATTGTATCAAAACCCGTTACAAGTTTAATGCATTCAGTTAAGACTCACATTTCTGTATTTCGAAGCTCTTTCATCTCTGCTGCCCCAACAACACGAGGTGACTCAATACAAAGGAAGTTGCTTGATCAAAAACATGTTGAATCTGTTTGGACTTCATTGCCTCAGTTTTTGCTTTGGTTTTGTTTTATAGTTTAACTCCTACCTATTAAAAAAACCCCAAGCCCACAACACAACAATCCAGCAACTGAACAGATTTTGAAGTCAATATACCCAATATCTTATCTTTCCTTGTGACAAGACTATGCCTACACAACGGGAAGCTGAAGCTCTCCTGAACACTGTATTGTGTTATGCCTCTATAAAAAGATCCGTCATTTTTTGTCATAGTCAGAACAGGCTTTAGAATGACCTAGCTTTAGAATGGATAAGAAAAACTAAAATCCAGGTTTTGGCATAGAAGTAGGAAGTAACATTTGCACAGAAGTGGTCACAAGGGCAAAGTGGCCCAAAGTCTAGATGCTCCACTTTAACCAAAACAGAGTGAAACAGCTCAAGACTATTTAGCATAGCAATTCTGATTTTTGGAACAAGGCAATCTAACCTAAACAGCTGTCTGATTTGTGATCACTCCAGTGAGAGGCCTCAGGCTTTTTTCCATGGTCCTCCATCTGTCCTTTTGTATCTACCACTTATATGTGGTATTTAAAAAGTGTTCCGGGATGAAAGTCATGAGGCAGAATCACTCAGCTCAACTACCTCCAAGAAGCCAGACTGTAGCTTTGTTTTCCTTGAGGTGCTGTAAAGAAGTATCAGGAAACCCATATAGATGATTTGCGCTCAGTTGCTTGATTAATGAAAGGGGTCTCTTGGATCACTGATTTAGGCTTTGTAATTACAGCCAAGGTTTCTGGCTGTGTATAACAATCTGAAGAGCTCCTCTAGCACTCACTTGTAACTCAGCTTTGAATGTTGCAGATCCAGAACAACTTACTGGCAACATCTAAGATTGCGCTCAGTGACTAACCTCTTGCTCAGTGAGCTGTGACTTGCCATTTTTATCTGACCCATTTTCATACTCAGATGACAGTTTAAGTACTGTTTGTGTTCCTTCGCTGTTGACTCATCCACAACAAGGCAGCCACAGGCTCCAAAATGACAAGCAGCTTTCGAAAACAGGAACATCCTGTTAATTTGGAGTTAAACATTTATGTGGTGTCATCCCTTGAGCTCTCGTACTATGCACCACACTGGCTGGTCCGAGAGTCCTGACAGGACACAGGTGATACTTCCTCCAGCTTTGAAACCACTGGGCTTAAAAACCTACATCCCACCTGCACCACCAGGACAAAAAAAAACGCTCGAGGAAGAATATAATACTATTTTCACTGATCCTTACTGAGAAGCACGCATTCGAGCATTACACAGCACAGTGTCCACATGGCACCTCACTGGCCACCAATACCACTGTTTGCAACACGACATCCAAATTGTATGTGAGCCGGCGATCTGAGAACCTCGATATGCCGAAATGTTTGCGTGTGTGGAAATGGCAACTGTGGCAGCCCTCGCACGCAGAGTGGCAAATCACGGCCAGGTCAGAGCCAGCCAGCTCTCCGACTGCTCAGAAGCTGGTGTGACTGCTTAGTCCCACTGGCACGCGTCCTGCTCTGAGCAGGATGATCCAGCGAAGCAGGATTACCTCTCTGCACCCATCTCACAGCCCAAATTGCTCAGTCTGCGAATACTTGTCTTAATAGACCTATTGACACAGTAAGTGGCAGACGCTTCCCCTCCCACGGCTGCTGCTTTTGCCTGAAATAGATACGAGCCACAGAGGGTACAAGCACGCACTGTGGTCTTTGCATAGCAACAGTCTCCATTTTGGTGCAGTAAAAAAACCCCCAAAAACCCAAACAACTAAACACACCTAGACTAGATAGGCTGGATTGATAGCTGCCAGTTTAACCTCAGAAGATAGGCTACCCTAAGGAATAAAAATTTTCCAGTTTCTTCCCAGTATACTGATTTTTTAATAACGACCACTGCTATAACCTCATCTTGAATATAACTCTGCTACAAGCACACATTAAGAAACACACCCAGTGTTTTAGGACATTTGATGGTAAAAGTCTTTCTGAGGCAAAACGCTGATGCACATACTATTCACTTTTTTCCAGCGCAGTCAGAACAGTACCCGTCTTGTGAAGTTAAAATCTGATCCAGAAAGCCAAGAACCCCTTTAATTTTCTAAGCAGATGAACCTTCTGCCTGAACACACTGATGTGTAAGGATGAAAATTGTTTTAAATGGCAAATTCTAAAGCAATAAGCAAAAAAAAAAAAATAGAAAGCATTATGCAAGTGACTGTTTCAATAGTCACATGTCCAAATGAAGCAATTAAAGGGTTTTTTTTAACTGTTATTTAATATGGCTGTTAGCCAGTTCATCCTTTTAGCAATTAAAAGCATATTGAGAAAGTTCTGAGAATAGCCCTGGCAAAATTGTACATGTCTGTCTGATCTCTGACACTGAGCACCATATGATATTCCTGGCCCAACAAACTCCTAGAAGAGTAAGATTTCCTTCTGCTTTAGCATAACACAGGTATCACTGGCCAACTCATAGACGTGTCCTCCAGTTTGGAAGCAAAATGGAAACGTTCAGATAAAAACAGTTACCATTTATGAATGGGGAACAGTTTTGAGACCAAGTGGAACTTAGATTTTGTAGTCACACAAACCACACTTACGTAATTTTCAGAAATTGGAGTTAAAAGCTTTCAGGTTGCATAGTGACACCAATATTAACGTACTACCCAACGCTTTTTGTGCAACAGATGAGAGTTGCATTCTAGATGCCACTAATTACTAGAACTTAAGCCTGAACTTGCAATTATTAAAATGACAGAGGAGATAATTTGAAATTACATGCTTAGGCATAGTTACAGGTATAGGATAAGAATGCCCTTCAAGACAGGAAGAGGTTCCTTTCTCTTCACCCACCCCTTATGTTCCCATCTTCATCTCCACCTGAACATGGTCCTGAGCAACCAGCTCCAGGTGGCTCTGCTTCAGCAGGGGGTTTGGACATGATGGAGGTCCCTTCCAACCTCATCCACTCTGTGATTCAACGACAGTCCTCTAGCCTCTAGCACGCAGCTCGACAAGTACAACTACATTGACCGACTTCATCAGCCTGCCAAACACACTAAGCTGAAGGTAGCTGTTGGGCTAGATGCTTTACAGTGCGACAAAATTCACTTAGTGGGATTAACTCGTAACAACCCTGTAGAAGACTGAAACAATTGCCCTGCTGATTTAAGATAAGCAACCAAGGAAGTTGCTCCACTACTCCTCAGAAACTGTACTGTGACAGTGTCGCTGGTGTCATTAGGAACAGAGGGGACACAAAAGTGTAGACAAGTTAACCAGCTAGCTTACAGCACCATTTGTTTTGATTTTGTTATTTTGAAGCCAAGGGCATGTTCCACCACACTGTACTGCTTTGAGAAATATTTAAGACAGGTTGAACTCTACCTCCAAGCAGTGTCTTTGCTAGCCTAGTTTAGGAAGCAGAAGAGAGAAATAAAAACAAAGTCAAAAGACAAGCAGTTCAGAGTGTTTGCAGAGACCACTCACGGATACAAGAGCAACTGCTGAAGAGCTGGCAGCTATCTAACAGAGAAACTAACTGTCTTGCAGCAGGATCACTGGGCCACAGCAAAGGAGACCATCTAAAAATTAAGTTTTGATGGGCCATTTTTATTAACCCTTAACCATGTGTTTAAGTGAGGCATTTTTATTCTGTACTTCAACTTTACACTTGCAAGACTGAATAAAAAGCTGAAGGAGAAATGGAATTCCCCACGATCCTCTTATCTGAAAGATTATCCAGGAATATCAAGGCTGAGTTTCTAAAAGTGTAAGTTACTAAAGCATGAGAAGCATGTCAGAAATTTCACATGAACCTCCTGGTACTGCCTTGAATGATTACTGATTTGAAGAAGTTACACTACACACAAAGTGAACTTTAGTGTTCCAGATAAATATTAATCTTCTCAAATTACACCCCATTTTCTAAAAGATAAGCACATATACAAGCATTTTTATGATACAAATCATCGGCATGACACTACGCATCTCAATTGCAGAAGATATTCTCTTCTTCACTTGCCCGCTGAACCAGATTGGTCCAGTTTAGGAAAAAAAAAAAAAATCACTGCTGTGCAAAAAGCAAGCGTAGGTCAATGATATTACAAGAGTTTCACTTTCAATCCAACTTCTCATGTGACTTCTGTAGGAAGGAGCTACAGATCTAGTGTCCACTTCAGCAAACATCAGATCAGTATCACAATTGCAGTACAGCTTTGACTTTGAAGGGGGAAGTGGGGGAAGGGGAAGGTACTATTTTGCCATGAAGGAGTAGGGAACAGCCACAGGCTGTATCAGTTTAGGCAGAGAACAGGCAGAGCACTAGCAAAAACTGTGCAAGAAGGAAGCCAAGGCACTTCACTCCTAACAAAAAACTACTCAGAGGCTAAACAGATTAGTCTCTATGGACTGT